CCGCTCTGCCGGCAGCGCGGCGGGCGCGGAGCCCGGTGATGCCCTCAGCTCTGCCGCCCGGCCCTGCGTGGCAAGGCGAGAGGGTGCGGGCAGCGCGCGTTTCCCACGTGCTCGATGGGAAGGGGCGCCCAGCAGGCCCCAGCAGGTTTGCGGGGTGCCGCATCGGGGCTGTGCAGCCACACCGTATCCCCAAGTGTGCTGTCTGCGGGCTTCGGGAGGCTTGTTTGCTGAGCTGCGGTTCACAACAACCGGTGGAGACTCAGGATTTCCATGAAGACAGAATTTGCTGTAGCCCTTGGAAGAGAGGATGGATGACGGGATGTGAGGCGTGAGGGCTAGGGGGGCTGGGGGGGCATTCTCTCTTCACTGCTGGCCCTGCATCTTTCCAGCTGCTCTCCTGAGGAGCAGGCAGAGCTGAGCAGGTCACCCATCTCCCAGTAGCTCCAAGCAGGCTGCCTCTCTGCTCCGGGGTGTGTGGGCCCCCCAGCCACGCTGCCTGCCCCTCAGCCTGTCTGGGCCGTTGAGACTGTGTGGCTGATGGTCTGCACATTCGTCCGGGGTCTTTCCCTCCCGCCTGCAGCTGGTTCCTCCCAGGGCTGCCCCTCCAGAGCCCAGGGGAGCCCAGAGCAGAGCAGGCAAGCCCCTGGCAGAGCCAAGGGCCCTGATGTGTCCTGGGGAGATGTGTCCTTAGGAACTGCAAAGACCTGTACTGTGACCTGCCCTGGCTTAGAGGGTGACAGCAGGACAGGGGGACATCAGGTATCCTAATGGGGCTGGACCCAGAGTCAGCAGGGGAAGGGAAGCGCAGCCCCGGCGCGCAGTCAGCGCTGTGCCCCAGCTGGCACCCCGGACAGCCCCGGGAGCTGGGGCTGCGGCCCACAGCAGCATCCCTATCCCTGCCCGGGATGGGGGCACGCAGCGGGAGCGGCGTGGACAGGCACCCTGCTTTCTGGGTGGTGCAGGGCAGCGAGCTCCTAGCCAGCGGGGTGTCGGGAGGCGTCACCAAGCCTGCCAGGGTGGCCAGGCTCCTGTGGTGGCCCTGGGCTGCTCCCCGGTGCTTCTGGGACCAGCTCAGCTGCAGAGCCCTGCTGCCCTCCAGACTCTGGCTGTGCTCACCCCAGAGCTCCGATCCCACGGGGTCCTTGCAGGCAGGGAGCCGGCCAGTCCCGGCCCGAGCAGGTGGGGGTGTCGGGGCTCCCCCAGCTCGTGCACACGCACTCCTGGCACCCCAGGGCTGCCGGGAAGCAGGAAAAGCGAAGCAGGCGCATCCGGGCATTGCGAAAGGGCCAGCGCTGGGCTGTGCGTGCTGGGGCTCTGGGGAGAAGGGGAGGGGTGGAGCCCAGCGCCTGAAGCCATGGGACCCATCAGACCTTCTCCTGCCCCTAGTGCTGGGGGCGCGACCCCACGCTCTCAGGGGTGTCCTGGTGTGGGCCTCGGCAGAGTGTGGCCATGTCACCCCTTAACCTTCCCCAGGAAGGATAAACAGAGGGAGCTTCTTCCTCCTTGTGCTGGCGGGTTTCCCAGTTCTTTGGTCGCTTGTGCTGCTCTTCTCTGAGTCCTTCCAGTTGTCAGTGCCTGGGTGGCTCCATGTCCCTGTGCATGTGTCCAAGGCCGCTGGTGAGGGAGCATGTTCCTGTGACGCCCGCCCTGGCCTGGCCCTTCCCTGCTGCTGCGGCCTGGGATGTCGTCCCCATGCCTCAAGGATGCCCCGCGCTTTGCTGCCCTAATGCATGCTGATCAAACATGCCGCCTTGCCAGGGGCCCCGTTTCATCAGGAGCCGCCCCTTCCCGAGGTCTGTTTGCCATTCACCGGGGTTTTGCTGGGGCGGACCGATGTCCCTCCGAGTGCCCGGTGGGTGCCTAATGGCACATCAGATTTGAACAGTACTTCGGAGCCAGCAGCCCCCCCAGGCTCTGGGCACCCCTTGTCGGCACCGCTCACTCTCGCCGGCACAGCCGAGCCCTTCTGGGAGGCACAGCCCCCGTGCAAGACGCAGTCGGGGGAGCGGAGCGATGGTGGGGGCAGCGCCTGGCCAGGAGGGCTGCAGGCCCTGCCAGGGTGGTTCTGTCCTGGGGGGGCACAGGAGCCCCCATCGTCCGCTGGGACGGGCAGAGCCGGTGGGTCTGGCATGGGAGCAGGTCGAGCAGTGCCATGGCTCCTGCTGCCGCGCAGGGCTGCCCTCTGCACCGAAGGGTCCCTGCACCCGTGCCGGCCTCAGCAGCGCAGGGCCACAGCCAGGGGAGTGCGGGGAGCCCCGCGGTTTCAGCCCCGCAGGGCTCTTGGACGCCCCGCTGCCAGCGCCAGCTGCGCCGTGGGCCAGGACATGGCTCAGAGCCCTGCACGCGCCTGGCCGGGACATTCCTGAGGTTTCCTGGGCAGTGGCGAGGACCTGGGCTGCTCTCCGGCTCCCATGCCTAGTGTTTGCTCAGGGCCAACCCGTCCTCCCGAGCCCTTTCCACTTGCAGCGTGAGTGCTGCTGTGTGTCTGAGCCCACTCGCACACCGGGGCAGGCACGTTCAGCGCGGCACAGCACGGCACAGGCTGGTCGGCGGCTCTGGCTGGAGCCCCAGACCAAGAGGAGACTGTCCCTGGCTGGAGCAGGCAGCTGGCAGCAGGATGGCCCGGGCGCTGGGGCAGACTGTGCCTGGCTCCTGTCCAGGACGGTGCGGCGGCAGCGGCCAGGGGACATGCCTGGAGACCCGGTCCCTGTCCCAGGTGATTCCCGGCCCCCTGCCTCTCCCACAGGTGCTGGCTGACCATGCCCAGGCTGTCTGCACGTCTGCCTTTCACCCTTTCCAGGGGATGTGTGCGGTTCCTGCAGATTCCTGGTCCCCTGAAAGCACCAGCGCTCGCATCCTCCCACTGAGCTGCTGGTGGCACCAGTGGTCCCATGTGCCGATAGGGTGGCAGCTGTCGCCCTTGTGGGACCCTTGCTCTCAGCAGGAATGGCCCGTGGGGGGGGGGCGAACAAAGGGGTGCACCTTCCCCTGGCCAGAGGTGGGAGGGAGATGGGAAATCCCCCTTGGGACTCTTGTGCTGGGTGATCAGCCCCACCAGGGTGGAGGGACCCCCCCAGCTTGTCTGTCCCAGCCAAAGAGCCCCAGCCCTGGCACAGATCTTGTGCCCTCCTGCCATGCCAGCCGGCAGGACCGCGGTCCCGTAAGGCTGTGTCAGGGCTGGCCCTCCAGCTGCAGGGAAGGGGCCCCAGGCTGAAACCGGGAGATTCTGCGCACGGATCGGCCCCATCCAGCGGGACAGCCCCGCCGGGGCTGGGGGTGGGCTCCCCGTCCAGGAGCAGCAGGCAAGACCAGGAGCAAAGCCCGCCAGCAGAGCAGGGAAGTCGGGCAGCGTCACATGGCTGGAGAAGAGCAAATGCACTGCTTACGTTTCAGAAAATGGAAAAAGTGATCTGGACAATGAGAGCCCTGTTAGCCTGACCTCGCTGGCACATGGACTCAGAGCACATTCGGAGAGGGAGATAGTACAGAAACGGCGAAATGGCTCCTGCCGTGCCCTAGAGAGCTCACGCTGCCAGCCTGACAGCTCTCCTAGGTTGGGTGCGGGAAGTGCTGCCGGGCCGTGCAGACCTCAGTGGGACATTTCACTGGGAAATTCCGAGACAAGCAGCAGGAGCTGAGGACAGGCTGAGCTGCAAGGGCTGAGGAAGCGCGGTGGGGAGAGGGGACGCTGGAGCCTGAGCAGAGGGAAGCCGTGACCCGAGAGAAGAGTGCTGAGGGTGGCAGCAAGTGGGGGTTAATGCAGAAATGGATGACAGAAGTTTGAGCAGGTTCAGAAGCGACTGAAGGACTGGGAGGAAGAGAAATCCACAGAGAGCTCTTAAATACGGAGGCTGAGGTAGCTGAGCTGGGGGTGACGGCAGGGCATTAGCAGGACATCGCTGCCCTGTCCGAGGGCACCTCCTGCTCCTGCTGTAGGGGTTGGGGTCCTGGGCCAGGGGATGTTTGTTGTGGCCTCACACAGCCGCAGGCTCTCGCCCCAGCCACCACCGTGTCAGGACGTGGAGGCCCTCCCAGCATCAGCTCTTCTGGCCGTGCCCTGTGCCCAGCTGGACGTGGGGCCAGGAGCTCGTCTGGCGGGGCTGTGAGACCGCAGGCACATGCGGGGCTGCCCCACGTCGCTGCAGGGCTGGGGCTGAGACCTCGCATCAAGCCAAGCCGTCTCGCTGACACTGGTGAATCTGGTGATCGTGTTCAGCCTGAGCATGCCAGATCCTGGAGGTCACGCTGCTGGGGCTCAGTGGGGACTGGGGCTCGGTGGGGACTTGGTGCTTTGCCACACGAAGCCCAGGCGCTTTCTCAGGTGCCATGTTCTGGTCTCTGGTCCTACACGCTTTGTTCCTAAATGCACGGGCTTAAATTTTTCTTGTAGTCAAGGATATAGGCTACATGATGCCATTTTACCAGGCTGTCCACATCTGTCCCCATCACAGTTCTCCACACTCTCCCCCATTTCTGTCCTTGCAGACTGTACCAGGAGAGGACTTTTTTTCCTCCTCCAGACACGGTTTTGCTTTGAAAAGCATGTGATGCTCACCAGAAAGCCCACTGGGTGGTGACTTCCCCCTTGTAACCACATTTTGGTTCCAGTGGGTGACCAGTTTTAATCCACTTAGTAGAAGGTGCACTGATTTTGCTGAGTGCTAATTATTCATTAAAAGGTGGTGCAGGATGAATTGAATGCCTTCCAGTCTCAGCCTGTTAGATCAACACAGTTACTCCAATTAACCAGACCTGTGATCTCATAAAAGGTCACACCAGCTTTCTGACACAGGCTATTTCTGCAGAACCATGGAGATTGGCATTAATTGTGCTGCTGTCCTTTAGTGTTGCATTGACCCCGTTGCAAAACAGCCTGGAGCCTGCCTGCAGCCGGCATCGGCAGAGATCATCTTGCTCGTTCAGTGCAAGTGCTGGTGAAGCTTTAGTCCTTACGTGCTCGCAGCTTTCCCAGTCTCCCAAGGTGTGTTACAGTTAGCACTGCGAGGGCCCACGCTTTTGTGTCACGTGCAAAGTGGTATAGCTCTGAGGATTTATAATGCTTTATTTGGGCAGGGAGGATGTCCCCTCAGTGACTGATGGGCAGAATAAGAAGTGGTTTATTACTGCTGTGAGGTAGTAAACTCATCCCCTCGACGCTTTCCAGACAGAGCAGAGATGCGGATGGAGCGTTCCTGTCCTGCCTGCCCCCGGCAAGCCCAGAGCCCCCCTTCCCCGAGCCGCTGGCAGGGCTAGGGTGGCCCTTTGTGCCTGCCCTCCTCTTTCTCCTGGCATAACAGCTGATTAAAAGGTTCAGCAAAGCATTTCCCCGCTGCCTGCCCACAAATATGCTTCCTGCTGGGCTTTGTTTTGTTCTCGCGGTGCCAAAGCAGGCAGCTGAGGTGTGGCGAGCCCTGAGCCGGCTCCTGCAGCGCAGCACCTAAAGAGCAGCTGTGGTCCCCCGGGATGCCCCGACACACCACTGCAATCCCACCAAACTGGCATGTAGGCAGCGAGCCGTGGGAGAGCAGCCACGAAGGCTCGCAGGGAAGCATGCTGGCTAAGGAAGCGTGCTGGCACCATGGGGAGGGTCTGCGAGAAGGGTCCCTGCGGCACAGCCCCACACTGGGAGCGTGTGTGGGGTTTGCATTTGTTTTCCTTCCTCTGTAACCCTGTAGCTAAACATTGGAGTTTTAAATCACCCCTACTTGCGGGTAAGCCAGACCTTGTTCTTTTTAATGTTGCTTAATGACAAGCGCGATCTGTGTGAGTGCGGCATGCAGGATCTGCTCTCAGGGTCAGGGGTGTAGGGCACAGAGACGTACTTCTGGTGTGCCTGTCCCGGGGGGCTCCCAGGTTTGGGGGTGTGCTTCCCCGCCCGTGGCAGGGACTGGCTGGAAGGGTGACGTGAGGCTGCGGTGGTGGGAGGCTGGTGGGTCGCCGTGCCAGCGGTGCTGGGTGAGCATCAGAGCTTTGCCGTGAAAACCATGGCGAGCGCAGCCTGGAGCAGGGCTGGCACCGCCTGCGCAGCAATGCTGTTCCTGGGCTGCCGCGGCACCCGCGGGGTTAAAGCGGTCCCTGACGGGATAAATGGGAATAGTGCACTGGAAGGTGGTTCACAGAGAAGTGTTTTCACCAGCGTTTGCCAATGGGGCTGGTGCAGGAATACCACATCTCCCTCAGGTATTCAGGGAGCCACAGATGTTATTGGAGGGCTGGAGAAATGCCGCACAGAGAGGAATGTGAAAGACTCCGGCTGCCCTGCTCCGTGCAGCGGGCAGGAACGAGGGCTGGCAGCCCCTCATGGCCCGCAGCCGGTGCTCTGCTCGTGGTGGATCAAGCTCCTGGACGGTCCAGCCGGTCTTTCCCTGGGCCCTGGTCCTGTTCCAGCTCCCTCTGCTCTGGCGGCCGATCCCCCTCCTTTCTGGCTGACTCTCCTGGGGGTGACACACACCCCTTTGCCTGTCTGCCATCCCTGCCCTTTGGTGCAGGAGATGCGACCCGGCGGCGCGGTGGGATTTCGGTAGTGGCTGTTCATGGAGGGGTGCAAGGTGCCTGGGAGGTGCTGGACAGAGCCATGGCCGATGGCAGCCCTGGGGGTGCAGGGCTGGTGCAGGGGCTGCATGCGGGAGGCACTGGGCAGGCAGCGAGAGCGGGGTGGCTCCGGCTGGGGATGAGACACGCGGGCGTGCGGGTGCTGAGCGGAGCTGCGTGTGAGCAGAGGGTTTAACCAGCGTGGGTCTGGGTCAGGGGAGCTGGTGTTTCAGCACAGCTAGTCTGTCCCACATACCCTGACCCCTTCTGCCCTTGCAGAGCCAAGCTGCCATGGGAAGCTGCGGCACGTGGGCATGGCAGGAGCTGCTGGTGCTGCTGAGCAGCGTGTGGCTGTGGGTGGGCAGCGCCCAGCCCACCCCCCCGGGCCCCACACACACCCCTGGATCCCAGCTGAAGTTTCGCCTGGCTGGCTACCCGCGCAAGCACAACGAGGGCCGTGTCGAGGTCTTCTACAACGATGAGTGGGGCACCATCTGCGACGATGACTTCACGCTGGCCAACGCGCACGTGCTGTGCCGGCACCTTGGCTTTGTGGCTGCCACTGGCTGGGCCCACAGCGCCAAGTACGGCAAAGGCGTTGGTAAGAGAGGGGCGGTGGGCGCAGCCCCCATACTGCGTGGGCTGGGGCCAGCCTGGCTGTGGCTGTGCATTGGCCCGCTGCCACGGGGTGCTGTGCGTGCCACAGCGGGTTTGCATGCACTGGTTGGGGGGGGGAGCAGGCAGGTCTTGTGTTTGCTGTGTGCCCGGCAGCATGTGTGTGCGTGTGTGTGTGCATGTGTGTGTGCACATGTGCATGTGTGCACATGCAAAGCAGGCTGGGAAGCCCTGCATGTTTGTATGTGAGCAGCTGTGCATGTATCCAGGGCACAGCGTGGTCGCAGGCATGCACTACAGCAGTGGGGCTGCGCATGCCCCTGGGTGGTGCAGGGGGCTGCAGGTCCGGGCTGGTGTGGGCACGTGGTGCAGAGGTGTAGCGGGCTGTGCTGCAGGTGAGACGCTGTACAGACCCCGGGGCGCACGTTACGCGGGCTTTATGTCTGACAGAGCAGCCCCTTGGGGAGGTGGAAACGCCCCATCTACAGATCCCCTGCTCAGGGCTTTACTCTTGGCATTTCACCAGCCTCAGCTTTGTGCCGAGGGAGGGCTGTCCCCAGCCCAACATCCATGCTCCTGCTGTGCACCTGCGTGGTCCCCGGCCGCGCTCCATGGGCACCTTCCCTGCTCCTGGGGGATGCTGCATGGGCTTGGCCCCCTCTCACCCCTGGCCCTGGTGTCTGGCAGGGCGGATCTGGCTGGACAACGTGAATTGTGCCGGAGGTGAGAAGAGCATTGGGGACTGCAAACACCGGGGCTGGGGGAACAGCGACTGCAGCCATGAGGAAGATGCGGGTGTCATCTGCAAGGACGAGCGCATCCCAGGCTTCAAGGACTCCAATGTCATTGAGGTGAGGAAGCTCCTGGCCACGATCCCACAGAGCCAGCTGCCAGGAGCCCTGCCGTGGGGCAGCCCTGCCGTGGGGCAGCCCAGCCTGGCCTCAGTCCTCCCTGGATAGTCGGGAGGCAGCTTCCCCACTGAACACGGGCAGGCTCCCATGTGCAGGACCAGGGGACCCTGTCAGTGCCTTCCCTCAGCCCTAGCACACGGGCTGTCCCCATCTCCCCATGGAGAGGGGAGCATGCTGCCCCACTGCCCGGATCCGCAGCGCCCCTGAGCCGCGTGAGCACGTATTTCCCTGGCGTGCGCCCAGCCCGGCTCTGGGGCTGCGGGGAGCAGCCGGCACTGCGGCGGGCCACCCTGCAGCAAGCACGTCCCTCCCCTGCCCCGCGTGGGAGCGCGGCGCTGCCATGGCCTCCCGCAAGCGTCCCAAGCTGCCGCTTCCCCCAGCAGCTTCTCCGGGCCAGGGGCTCTGTCTCACACCTCTGTAGCCTGTTTTCTTCTTTCTCCTGCCTGCCGAGGACCCTTGGTCCCGGACCTGCTCCTCCACGCCGCACTCCTCCAGCATGCTTGGCCTCTCCCTCTCTCTCTTTCTCTCTTCCAGGCTCTCTGTTTCTCACACCAGCTCTTGTGGCTGCCCTTGTCTGCCCAGCCGGGGCCCCTGTCCCCCCCAGCCACGGTGCCTGCGGAGGACGAGGCTCTGCTCAGGATGGGGCTTGGGTGTGGGGACATGGCACAGCTCTGGGCACGGGACAGCAGGTCTGCGAGGCGAGGAGGGCTGGGGCCGTGTCCTGCAGGCTGTGCCCAGTGTCCCGGCACCCCCTGCTGCCGTCCTGCTCTGGGTGGGTGCCTGGGCGTGGGGCGGTCTGGGCACCCTCCCTCTGGGTGCAGGGTCCCGAGGTGACGGGATGGCAGCGCTGGCTCTCCTGGCTGTGCTCACAGAAGATGCACCCGAGGGGCCAGGGGGACGTGGGGCACTGACTGCATGGGGTGGGATTAGGTCCTTGGCCACCCAGGGCCATCAGATGTGGCCTGCAGGGATGCAGGACCTGGCCATCCCTGTTCCCCACCTGGGACTGGGGACCCCATCTCCTGCGGGTGCCTGCATCGTCGGGGCATCCCTGGGAAGGGGCTGGCAGGGAGCCGGGGCAGCGGGGTACAGTGCGAGCCTGGGCTGACCTGTGCCCTGCAGACCGAGCAGAGCCACGTGGAGGAGGTCCGCCTGCGGTCAGTGGTGTCCGGGGCCCGGAGGCAGCTGCCGGTGACGGAGGGCATTGTGGAGGTGCGCTACAAGGATAGCTGGGCACAGATCTGCGACGAGGGCTGGGACAGCCAGAACAGCCGTGTCATCTGTGGCATGATGGGCTTCCCTGCTGAGAAGAAGGTGAACAGGAATTTCTACAAGTGAGTGAGGCCAGCAGGGAGCCTGCGGGGCTGGGGTGTCGGAGCAGAGCTGGGGGCACGGGGCTGGGGCAGAGCTGGGGACAGTGGCAGGGACACAGGGCAGTGCTGGGGGAACAGCAGGGGACCATGCTGTTGGGCGTTGTGGCTCCCCAACATCCCTCCCATCCCTGTTGCTCACCAGTCCTAGCCCCAGCTGGCCATATGGGCACTCGCTAACCAAGCGGGGGGGCCATAGCATGGCTGGGGGGCCATGGCTGCCCACCTGCCCCATGCACCACTGCAGTGGCTGCTCCAAGAGGGCAGCTTTTGCTCCCTGGCAGTGGTGCACCTCCACATTTCCCTTTGGTGCAGAGTGCGGGGGTCCCCGTGCCAAGGGGAGGTTTGCAGCCGAGCCAGGCACGGCTGCTCCAGCAGCACCATGGCCCAAGCGAGGGCCCAGGGGTGTGGGCACGGACACGCTGCCCACGGCGTTGTGCCCGGCGTGGTGCCCAGCATGGTGCCTGGCGCTGCGCGCACTCCTGACTGGGCAGCCGCCGTGTTGCTCACGCAGGGCGCTGCGGCGGGCAGCCAGGATGAAGGGCCGGAGCCTGAGGCCAGGCAGCAGGGAAGGGGCCGGGGGGGCCA